TTGGGAGGCTGAGGTGGGTGGATCACGTGAGGTCAGAAGTTTGAGACCAGCCTGACCAACATGGTGAAATCCTGTCTCTACTAAAAATACAAAATTAGCCAGACTTGGTGGCGTGCATCTGTAATCCCAGCTACTCAGGAGGCTGATGCAGGAGAATCACTTGAAGTGGGGAGGCAGAAGTTGCAGTGAGCTGAGATCATGCCATGACACTACGGCCTGGGCAACAAGAGCGAAACTCCATCTCAAAAAAAAAAAAAAAAAAAAAAAAAATGGTATTTTGCCTATACCGAGAAATCCACAAGGCTTAGAGGGAACAGAAGTCACATTGTAAAATAGTTCAGCTTGGTTATCCTCGTTCATCTCATCACACGTTTAAAAATACACGAATTAAAGAGGTTTCAATGGGCCTAATTTCTTGGGGGTGGATCCCCATTATTTCACTAGCATGGAAGCCCAGAGGACTCTGATTCCATAGTCTCAGATATAATTTGGGTTTGCGAAGCCACCAGCCCAGTAATCTGAGGATGGTAAGTTGGGAATGTTAGGATGACTGCTTGCATTCTTCCTCGCTTCCTCCCAGGCCCCAGTGGGTCACCAGGTCTAGTAGCCACTGCACACAGTGCAGCCAATATCTAACCTTTATTTTTTCTTTTAGAGACAGGGTCTCGCTCTTTCACCCAGGCTAGAGTGCAATGTCGCAATCCTGGCTCACAGTGGCCTCGAACTCCTGGGCTTAAGCAATGCCCCTGCCCCGGCTTCCCAATGCGCTGGGATTACATGTGTGAACCGCAGTTCCTGGCCCCAGCCTGCTCATAGATGCTCCCAGTTCAGCCAGGCTTCCTTGAGCGGCAGTCACTACAGAGCAGAGTCCCTTGGGGCAAAGGGGAGGGTGCTGTTCTCCCTGCCTTCCCCCTCATCTGTCATTCATTCTCCTCCATCCTGCCTACCCCTGGGTCCACCAAAGGACACAGCGCAAAGGCTGCTTGGGAGACCTGGCACACAACAATTCCACGCCCTGGCTATCTACCTTGGGTTTGAAAGGCAAGGAGTAAGGGTGAGCTGGTTGCTCAAGCCAGATCTACAAACTCCCTGATGAAACACACTCTTTAACCATTCCATGCAGCAGGTCCCATGGGTGCTGTGCAGACCAGCCTTGGTGCTGTGTACACAGGGAAGCCTGCCCCTTCTAAGCCAAGTGCCGACCCAACAGTGCATTAGCATTTCTCAGTCTGGACTCGGCTTGTCTGCCTTGCTTTGTCCATGGATGCAAACACAGCTCTAGTCTTCCTCTCTCCATCTTTAAGCACTCATGTGGAGCCTGTCCCATTACAAAACCAAGGTCAAACACTCCAATAACACCATGGGCACATCCAAGTCCTCCGATGGCACTGGAGTACCCTTGTACATTATGTTCCTTGACAGAATAAAGAAATGGGACTCATGCCTGGAAGCTGGAAGTCACCTCAAGAAACTAAGGATTTGATTGGAGTGGGATTTCCTATAATGAGATCAGACCCCTGGTGGGATCTGACCCTCTGTGGAAGCAAGGATGCCTGTCCTCTGGCTTAATCCAAGATGGCTTAACCTCTTCCATGGGATTATTGTAATATGTCTCTGACAGGCAGTATGCTGTCCTCTGTGGAAAGAGTTTTAGAAAATTCCCACTCAAGCTCTCGACACTGTCATATGCAACAGGCATCTCTCCACCCAACTGCTGGGTCAGCTTCTCTCCTTGGGGGCTCTCCCTCTGCACCAGAATTAGGAATCCACTGGCTGTTAGGACGGGCAGGTCACACTGGCCAGGACCCTGGCTCTATGGCACCAAGGAACTTAGGATCAGAATTTTCAAAGTTAGGAAAAGGGCATGCAGAAAATGACAGAAGACCCTGAAAGTACAGCCTGTGACAAGAGCATCACCCACAGACCAGGGTGAGACGCCACCTTCTCCAGATCAACAGCAAGGGCTGGAAGAGCCGCTGAGCAGTGTGGGGAATTTATGTGATTTGAACCAGGTATTTCTGATGCTTCTTCAAACACTTTTACACCCCTTGAGAACAGAGCTCTTCCTTAAGAAACACAGGGGCATTAGCTCCCCCATAAGCCTGTTTCTACAATCGTGAAAGAGTGGGGATTTAGCTTTACTAACCAGACACAACCAGCCCCAAACTTTATCCATCTGAGATGAGAAATCTAGGAAGGATGCTTCGGTCTGACAAAGCCCAGATTCTTAAGGAGAAAGAGCGATCAGCCTGGTAGACGGATTTAGAAACCCATACCTACTTCGAAAGAAGAGAACAGGGAATAAACATTAGGACTATTTTATTCCTTCTGCCAATATCACTTCCACCCTTGCAAAGGGAAGTTAGTGGGGGCCTGAAGCTTGCAAATGTTGTTTGTGCTTCTTGCCATGCTAAAAAAGAGAGTAAATTAGAGTATTTAAGGGGAAAAAAATCCCATTTTATAATCCAGTGGATTTACGTGTTCCTCCTAGATTGTAACTTTTAGAAAGGATGAGTATGTCTGAACCCTCTGGGATACCACAGTAGCCCGTGAGAAAATGAGAACAGGACTGCAATTACAGTGGGCCAGATACGGGGGGAGTGGGATGAGAACTGGCAGAGTCAGGCCCTTCCTAGAGGCAAGAGGGCAGTGGCCCCACCCCCAAGCAAATGCAAGAGCCAGGGAGGGTCTTTTCCTGCCTGCCTCCAAACTAAAGCAAGAGGAGGCAGAAGAAAGGGAGCCAAACAGAATGCAGAACTCACGCTCTCTAAAAATAGGCAGCTCATGGCCAGAGTCAGTGTCAGCATCTTCCCAGGAGTGGAAGGCAGGACAAGGGGCCTGAGCCTTCCACTGCGAAAGCAACCAAGAAGCCTTCAAGCCTGGCTGGCATGAGGGTCCTCAAGCCCCATGAAAGAGAGGGAGGGGCCACAGCTTACATCCCAGGGTCTGCTGCCCAAAGCCTGAAAGGCGGTCTAAGCAACAGGGCTTGCATACAGCGTGGAAATGTCAGGGGCATGTGGTGTGCTGTTTTTCGGGAAAAGGTGAGAAGTGCCTAAGAGTTTGCAACCCAGAGATAAAAGGCTCTCAAGACCAGGCAGGCTCCCTGATGCTGGCCTCCCAGGAACCTGGCCTGGTGTGAAAGGACACCATTGGGCACACGTCCTCGAGGCAGGCAGCCTTCCTTCACTCCTGATAGGAAGATAGGGAAAATTATTAGGGGTAATAGGAGCTCATTTCAATAATAATGAGCTCATGGACATGCCAGGTTTTGATCTTTTCTGATGCATGGATTCCTGGCAGGAACTATGGTCCTATGTAGGTAGTTGAAAGAACTGAAAATAGACTAAAAAAAAACAAACTTCTAAACAACAATAAAAAAGAAACCACCCCAATCACAAACCCAAAACAGCAATGAAAAAAAAAAAGCCTTAAACATTGCTCCCCCCAGAATAAAAAAAGCGGAGGGGCGGAATTTGGACTGACATAAAACCCTTTTTTCCCTTCTTTTAAATATTGTTTTTAACAGTTTCAAAAGTAATGAATTGTATGCGGCTTAAAAATAGGTCTGGGGTAGTGGTTATCATTCAGCGTAAGGGACTGTCAATACTTTTTGAGCTGTCAGAAATTCATTTAATGATTTTCAGCAATTCAAAAAAATATATCTGACAACTTGATTCAGTTCCTAGTGAATTAGGGAGGAAGAAGAATAAAAGAAATATATCAATCTAAAATATGAACCTAGAATCTAGCATCCTGAATCCTGCTCTATGCTTAAAGGAACAACAGGAGATTGAGGTTCAAATAGATTCCCTTCCATTTTCCCCCTTCATTCCCTTCTCTTCCCTCCCTTTTTCCCTTTCCTCTCTCCCTTCCTTCCTCCCTTCTTTCTTCCCTCCCTCCCTCCCTCCCTCCCTCCCTTCCTTCCTTCCTTCCTCCCTCCCTCCCTGCCTCCTTGCCTTTCTCCCACAGGTAAAATAAAATTACAGAAATCCATTTGTAAATTACAGACGGAAAGGTAGCATGGTCATTTGTTTCTAGTGAGCATATTTAAGGATGGTTTCAAAGGGAAGAATACATTGAGCTTCCCTTAAGAGAAAGGCTTTCAAATATGAGTATCTGGGTGCCAAGAGAATGACTTTGATTCCCCCTGCCCACCCCAACATTCATTTGATCAAACCTAGTCCTTAAATTTATGGTTATGTTCTAAAGTCTGGAATTCCTCTGGGGTGCCCATATGCTTTAAGGAGATAAAGAAGTATCAATTTGCTACAGGATCAGACGAGCATCAATCCAAGACGCATAGGGTCACATCACTACTGTTCAGGAACTTCACAATGTACACGTCTTGTTAGAACAACACACGGGCAGGTGAACAGACAGACAGACAGACAGAAGGCAAGCGCAGAAGGCCAGAGTCACAGTCACTGCCATTTGGTTTGTCTACAAATGAGTCACAAACACCCAGAAACCATCTCCTTCTTTGAAGAGAGGGTCGCTTTACTTCTATACTGTGGTTAGTGTGATATGATTTTAGTATCCTCTAAGTCGATAAAAGAAAACTTTAAGAAAGCAGATTTGGCTTAGCAAAGCAGTAAGGAATTGTCTTTGGGCATTTTTTGCATAAATTGAAAATACTGAAGAATTTGCAAGTTACCATGTCTCTTTTAGTTTTTGTTTTGTAAGTTGTTTTCCGCCCCCTTCAAGTTATAGATGGAAAAGAGGAGTAGTTCACGTGGTGAGACACTACCCTCTTTTCCATGCCTTCTGTATAGGCATTTTGGAACATTATAATGCAAATTGGAACACAAAAGGATGAGTTCTAAAACTCAATAAAATTGGCTTTTATGATTGTCTACATTGCAGGTACAGCATTGAGGGTTTTTCCTAATATTTCATTCAAAATTTGCTCATGAATAAATCTACCCATTTTTTTTTTTAATGCACAATTCAGCACTGATGTTTTGGGAAATGAAGTATAGGAAGAGGATTCTAAAACTTACCACACAAGTCTGGCCTCTTGATACATCCAGAATTTGCTGTGCTACTTGCGAGTCCGTTAAAGGCTGCTAAGCCATCAGAGCTGTAGGCCCTGAGGACCGACAGCATGTTCATCGGCTTGTCCAGGCCCTGGGGACCCCGCTCCGGCTTCGGCAGGCCCACCGAGGGGTCCTGGGCTTGGAGAAGACCCTGGCTGTGCCACTGCTTCTCCGGCGCTTGGGGTAAAGGTGAGACCAGTCCCTGGACGGGCTGGGGGGCGCCCGTGGGCTGCAGGCTGTCCCCGCCATCACTGCTGCTGTCTTTGCTGAGGGCAGACAGTGGCTTGGTCATCATTTCCGGTTCGGTTTCAACATCCTCTTCATCGTTGTTCTCTCCCTTGGAGGAGTCCATGTCCTCTGAGGAGGCGATGTCAGAGAGGTCATCAGTCGTGTTCTTACTCGTGGTTTCGGGGATCAGGATGGGGGCATCCTCTTCAGAGTGGGCCTTTCCATCGGGCTCCTTGTTGGGGCAGGAACTGGAGGACCCCGAGCCAACCATGCCTGGGTAAACACCAAACTGCTTGTAGAAGTCTGATGGGAAGTTACAAAATGCAGGGTCCACGTGGCTGGTCCATGTGCCACTCTTCTGCTCCCCCAGAGTCTCCTTGATCTGACCTTGGGCCATCTTCTCAGAGTCTAGAGAGCCAATCATATTGGAGAGGCCCAAGTCTTTGTTTGATTGTACCGAGGGCAGCAGGGCCATCTTACTTGCCTCCCGGGCCTGGTCTTTGCAGTTGACTGCGACCCCGATGGCATTATCTTTGCGTTTCGCTTTGCCCAGGTGGTTGGCCTGCAGATGAAGGGCCATGAGCTCCATGGAGGACGTCGTGAATGCACAGAACAAGCAGCCATGCCACGCAATGCTGTCCTGCACGGTCACCGAGGAGCCCGGGAGGGAGGCCGCATCTGGCCTCACCGACAAGTCCAGGGGCTCGTACTGAGATTTTTCAGACTTCCTCTGGGAGGACTTGCTGGGCTTCTCCTCGCCACCATCCACTCCGTGGACTTTCATGGAAGTGGGGTCAGCCAGGGCTTTGTCCTTCACGTCCTTCTCCTTCTTCAAGGAGCTGAGGACAAAGCTGTCCATGAATGCTTGCAAGGACCCTTGGAAATTTACACCGTTGCTCACGATGCTTTGATAGGCTCTTCCGATCTCAGAGAAATGGGTGCTTTTGGAAGGAAGGTCAGCGCCTTTCAGAGCATCTGAGGGGACCTCCGAAGACATGCTGGTGGCCTGCCCTGAGTGATCTCCGGACGAGAACACCCCTGATGTCCACTGCTGAGATGCAGGGCCACCTCTGAAGTCGATGCCAGGGAGACCCTTGAAGGCCCCCCTCAAGATGTCTGGCCTGATGAACAGAGAAGCTTTGCTTGACATCTCGTCCTTGTGGTCTTGATTTGGGGGCTGCCCGGACAGCGGCCCAGCTCCGTTCTGACGCTCCCGATGGTGTCGCTCTAAGTGGTATTTTAAGGACGCTGACTGAGTGCCGGCATAGTCACAGTGTGGACACTTGTAAGGTTTCTCACCTGCAAAATTTTGATATAAGAAAAAAAAAGAAGCGTTTATCTCATTTTGGTGTGCCGAATGAGGCTGGAAGGATCAACATTTGTTCTTTGAAACAAAGCAGCTCAAACTAATAATTAGAGAACAACTGTTTTTTAATAGAAGAATAATTCGTACTCTTAAGCTTTTTTAATGATTTTGTACCATTTGGGACTATTCAGGAATGACATACTATCTACACACAATTAGCTATCTTTTTCTTTATCTAACATGTGAAAAGGGCTGTAGATGTAAAAGCTATGATTATGAAAATTAAGCATAATAATTTCAGCCACGGTGATCATTAAAAGTAGAAGTTTAGAAAGAGAAAGTATGTAACAAATGGGTGGTTGCAATATTTTGTGTATACAATAGCTCTGAAATTTGTTTAAATTATACACATGGAAACCATTTTTAAACCTAAAAATTTTATGGCACTGTTACGCAAGACTGAAATGAATGATTTAAGTCTTGCTCCGCAGTAAATCATGGATATAATTAGCAAATGGCATACTGCACAAGTAATTTATCATTATTTGGAGGGCACCATTCCAGACGGGCTCAGATATCTGCAGACCTACTGCACTGTTTCTAAATAAAGAACTATAAATACAGATTCTATAAAATATTAATACCATTACAGTGCATTATGGTTGCAGCATGTAAAGACATATAGTTAAGATAAAAAGCAGTCAATAAAACTTAAAAGAAAATGAGTAATAAAAAGGCACAAAATATATTTAGTTTCTGTATTTGAAATTAACATTATCTACTGGTCTTTGTAGTGCCTTAAATTTGTACTAATGGCAAACCTAACGCTCCGGTAGTAAAATGTGTAATTTACCTATAATAAGCGCTTTCTAGAGAATAAAAATAGCTTTAAAGAGTGTTTTAAAACATATAAGATAATTTTCTTGAATTAAATATTTATTTAAATTCAACACCTCCAACTTCTATTGTTCTTTCCACGTTGGAAAAAGATAGCAGAACAGACAACTTACATTTGCTGGCACTGTGAGATAGAGAAGGGGAAGAAGGTGAACGATTGCAGATTTAAATATCTTCCAAGAATTTGTTAGTAATCCCGGGGTCTTTTCTAGACTTTGCAATCAAATGGCTCTCTAGAAGGAATGGGGACTGACAGTTCCTGCTCACTCATTCATAATGGCACCCTGTCAATATCCACAGTTATTTCTCCCAGGAACCTCAACTATTCCCCTCCCCTTCCTCTGTTCTATTGTAAAATAGACTGATCTGAAAAATAATGGCAAGTCATCAGTGAATGGCATCTTCTGAAGACATTTCACTGTGTCTAGTCTCAGCATATGCCATAAATACCAGTCCTCCAGGCACAGGGCATTTGGGGACATGGACTCTGTGAACAAGAAGACCACCAGTCTGGTTCTGAGCAGGAGAAGCCACGTCATCTCCAGATCGCATGCCAGACCCAAGGAGATGCCCTGCCTGTCTTATCAGCATGAGGGTGCCAGATGCTACAAGCAGCTGAGATCTCTCCCGGACACCTTTTCAGAGCTGGCCCTTAGGTCTAGGAAGGGAACCCAACAAGGAATCTGTTTCTCTAAACATAAAGATCACAGTCATCTCTAGCTAGACCAATGACATGGATCTAGGAGGAAGGCTGGATCCCCTTTGGGGTAGAGGTACAAAAAATTTCAGGCACTATTTTTCCACCTATTGGAGTCAGTCCCAGGTTAGGCTCAGACTCACTGAGCTACTATTTGCACAGCTCACTGAAGGCCAGGCTGGGATGGGGCATTTCTAGGTAGCAGGATATCATGGCTGATTCAGCTAACCTGGAGTCCAGCAGCCAGGTGTGACAGAGGCAGTCCCTGAAACTTAGAGGGGTTGCGATGGGGTCCACAGCAGGCGAGCCTGCCTAGATACTCAGGATCCTGGCCCACAGGTGAGAGCAAACCCTGTGGGAGGGCCCAGCGATGAAAGTCTGCAGAGGTGAGGTCCGCAGGTGCCGAGTGGGACTCAGGCTGCATTTTAGAAATGCACCTGGAAATGATTATGTGCATCTGGCAGGCAAAGGGACCGTAAAGAAAGCATGGGCATTCATTAGTAGGAAATAAAGAGGGGGAACGTGGACTTTCCTCTCCAGGCCTGGGGATGTAGAGCGCTGCCTTTCTGGGTGTGGACTGTGGGGATGCACAGAAGATGTGCGTGTGTATTTCCAACGGATGTGCGTGTGTATTTCCAACGGATACATGTTTGAAATGCACACAGGAGCAATAGTACTCAAACTGTCTTGTGCATTAGAACCACCAGGGGAGTTTGGTAAGACACCAATTCTGGCCCTAAGGCACAGCAGTTCTGATTCCCTGGGTCTGGGGAAGGGGCAGAAGTTGGGCTTTTAAGCGTCCCTGATGATTCTCACACAGGCAAGGTAAAGACAACCCCTTGAAAAACCAACCTGGAATTGCCTTGGGGACTTGACAAAGTGCAGATACCTGGTCCCACCTCCCCACATTCTGAGTTAATTGGCCAAAGATGCAAACTTGGTTTCAGGCTCTTTCGGGACTTTCCCAGGTGGCCCTCTGTGGATCCTGAGTGGAGAAACATTTTAGGCAGCCTTCCTGGGAAGTGCCTTTGAAGTGGGAACCACGAGTGGTTTAGCAGGGAAGATGGTCTAGACCTCAGGCGGTATTTGAGAGTCTGGACTAGGGACTGCACCTATGCTTCTCTGAACTCCACTGCACACAGAATCCCAGTCTTGGGACTTCCTCTTCCTCAACCTGTAATAACACACGTTGAAGCACATGTTCTGTGGGGTCTCGTCCCAATCCTAAGCTCATGTTAGGAGCTAAACTAAGTCTCTCTAATAGAGCCAGAGATACTTGTGCACATACGTGTCACCTACTCACTCAGAAACCTTCAGATTGATTCACACACATTTTTTGATGGAATGAACCAACGAATGAGTGAATAAGCACCTGCAACCTCCTTTCTTGGCCCTGGAAATGGAGTAAAAAAAACAAGAGGCAGGCCCTGCTCTCATGGCTTTTGGAGGAGACATATCATATAGTAGGCTAGCAGAGTTCACACACACACACTCACTCTCACACTCACACACAGCATGCGGGAGTGCAGGAGGATGGCATCTCTTCACTCCACCCACTGTTCTTTAGAGTTCAAAATAGACCTTGGCCCTCACTGCTCCAGAGACTAAAGGCCACAGCTGAGAAACAAGAAAGGCTAATTCTTAGCATTGGAGTCCCACAGGCCCAGGCCTGGTGAATTAGGGGCTGCTTCATGAGATTTCAAGGGTTTTCTGACTGCACGTGCTATGCAACGTTCTAGAAAGCTCTCCACCCATGCTTCCTCTGCCTTCTGCCCTGGGATGAAGGGCTACACTGCTCTTTCTGTCCATTTCTCTTTATAGTTCCACCTCCTGCCGGGTCAGTAAAGGGCTTGGTTGGGGTGGCTTCTTCCGACCACCCCAATTCCTCAGATAAGTGCTCCAGGTGGATGCCGTTCCAAGGGATAAACCCTTCTCCTGTGAATTTACGCTCACAAAGAAACAAGGTCAATTTTAATTTCCTCGTAATTGCTAAATGATTGGAAGAACCAGCCCTGCCCTCTGTCCTGAAGCCCTCGCTCCCCTTTCTGGGCTTCCTATCCAATGAGGGGCACAGGGAAATGCTTTGGAGAGGAAAGTGAGCCAGGCACAACCAGGGGCTGAGCTGGGAACCTCCTTAGAACCTCATCAGCCCCAGGGCCTTGTGCTCCACTGGAAACATCCCAGCTGTTTCCCAGGCATTATTTCCCCAAAGGACTCATTTCAGAGTGCTCAGGAGGCAAACTTCTCACAACATTGGCCTAGTCGGGGTGGGGTGGTGACCGCAAGGAAGGCCTATCAGCACATTTCACAGGCTCTGGGGTGCAATCCACGTCTGCTCTTCCATTTGGCCAGCACAGACAGATGCTGAGTCTACCTGAGCGGAGGAGAACCACTTCCCAGCCAAAGCCTCCACATCTGGTTGTGCTTTTCTGCCCAAGTACTCTGGGCTGACTCTAGCAAATCCCAGGCCTCTGGGCACGACCAGATGCAATGCAAAGGGGCCGGGCACTGGGCTTGCCCAGCCCTGCCCAACCAAGGCTGGACTCTACCTGAGACTCAGGCCTGCATTGCCTGGGCAGCCCCATGGTCTAGGCAGCCCCAGATCATGCCAGCAGCTCTAACTGAATGATTGGCTACTTAGGCCATAAATGAGTCCCATTTACTGAGGGGACCACTCCGGCTGCCCCAGGTTTCCAGGGGGTCATGAGTCCTCTGGTAACCCCCATGATGTTTGGGGATCATTGCTTAGTGTTTATCTGTCATATGTGCCACACACTGGCATGCAGGCAGAGCCAGGCAGATCAGATGAGTATGCAAAACAGCTGTTCTCTCCTTTAGCACAGTGTCACTCAACTCTAACCAACTGTGGGCACCAGAACCTTTGATTTTCCAAGAAAAGTCTCGGCCAGCCATGGTGATTTATACCTATAACCCCAGCACTTTAGGAGGTCAGGCAGGAAGATTGCTTCAACCTAAGAGTTGAAGACCAGCCTGGGCAATACAGGGAGACCTCGTCTTTACAAAAAACTTAAAAATTAAGCAGGTGTGGTGGCACACACCTGTGGTCTCAGCTACTTAGGAGGCTGAGGCAAGAGGATCACTTGAGTCCAGGAGTTGGAGGCTGTAATGAGCTGTGATTGCATCACTGCACTCCAGCCTGGGTGAGTGTGATACCCTATCTCTAAAAAGAAGAATAGAAAAAAAAAGTATCACATCTATGAGATTTCTATGTTCAATATCTTAATGTTTAAATATGGGTACCGATTTCAAAACTTTTCAAACACTGAGAGGGTTACAGTGCTCTATTTTACAGGTGGGGTCTGAAGCAGGCAATTGTGAAATGTGCAGAACGGGACCTCTGCCCACTGAAGAAAGCAGCTAAGGACACTGGTAGCCTTC